GAATGCCTTCTCCAGATCCACGAAACACATGTGGACTGGTTGGGCAAACCCCCATGAACCCTCCACCACCCTGAAGAAAGTATAGAGCTGGTCCAGTGTTCCACAGCCAGGACAAAAAATGCATTGTTCTTCCTGAATCCGAGGTTCGACTATTGGTCGAATTCTCTTCTCCAGTACCCCGGCATAGACTTTCCTGGGGAGGCTGAGGAGTGTGATCCCCCTGTAGTTGGAACACACCCTCTGGTCCCCCTTCTTGAAAAGAGAGACCACCACCCTGGTCTCCCAGTTCACAGGCACTGTCCCCAACCGCCACGCACTGTTGCAGAGGTGTGTAAGCCAAGACAGTCCCACAGCGTCCAGAGATTTAAGGTACTCGGGGTGGATCTCATTCACCCCCGGTGCCTTGCCACCGAGAAGCTTCTCAACTACCTCGGTGACTTCAGCTTGGGTAATGGATGAGTCCACCTCTGAGCCCTCAGCCTCCGCCTCCTCACCAGAAGACATGATGCCGGGGTTGAGGAGATCCTCGAAGTATTCCTTTCACCATCCGACAATGTCCCCAGTTGAGGTCAACAACTGCCTACCTCCACTGTAAACAGTTTTGGCAGGACACTGTTTCCCCCTCCTGAGGCACCGGCTGGTTTGCCAGAATTTCTTCGAGGCTGACCGACAGTCCCTCTCCATGGCCTCACCGAACTCCTCCCAGGCCCAAGTTTTTGCCTCCACAATTACCCGGGCTGCAGTCCGCTTGGCCTGCCGGTACCCGTCAGCTGCCTCAGGAGTCCCTCGAGCCCACTGTTAGGTATTTTTAGTCAGATAGATATTGGTCAGGTACTTGTATGTATTAGAAATGTTTAGTGGAGTCAGGATATCTAGTTTAGGCTGTTAAATGCTTAGTCATGCTCATGAGTTTTTGCAGGGTGCATATGGTCAAGGATAACTAGATAGAAAGTTGATGACTGTTAGAAGACAGGATGATTATTATTATTATTATGATGTGTTTAACCGTAATCGTAATCATAATATTTTCTTATGTTTAATGTCATGACATGTCACTAGATGTCATGTCAGAATGTTTTTAGATACACACCACTTAATCAACACGTTTTGACTACTGCTATGGTCAGCTGCAAAGCTGCCACCAGAGACGTCACGGTTTGACGTTCCTGTGTAGAATGGGGCTAGCCCAACCTAAGTGATAAATGTATAGGCCTGGTGTGGTTCAGGGTCTTTCATCCTTCAGCTGCCTGCGTGCATGTTGGTGGGTGCAAGATACCTGAGCGTGTAATGTTAATTTTTACCTGTGTTCATTGAATAAATCAGCACTGTTTTGAAGTTACTTGGACTGCCTCGTCTGTTAGAGTTAGCATGGCTAAAAGAATCGGAAGACTACACCACCACTGAATCCAACTCACCACCATGTGGTGATCAGTTGACAGCTCCACTCCTCTCTTCACCCGAGTGTCCAAGACATACAGCCGGAGGTCAGATGAAACAACCACAAAGTCGATCATCGACCTTCGGCCTAGGGTGTCCTGGTGCCATGTGCACTGGTGGACACCCTTATGCTTGAACATGGTGTTCGTTATGGACAAACTGTGACTAGCACAGAAGTCCAATAACAGAACACCACTCGGGTTCAGATTGGGGTGGTGTTCCTGCCAATCTCACCCCTCCAGGTGTAACTGTCATTGCCCACATGAGCGTTGAATTCCCCCAGTAGAACAATGGAGTCCCCCAGTCAGAGCGCTTTCCAGCTCCCCTCCCATAGACTCCAAGAAGGCCGGGTACTCTGCACTACCATTTGGCCCATAGGCACAAACGACAGTGAGAGACCTATCTCTGACCTGAAGGCGCAGGGAAACAACCCTCTCATTCACCGGGGTAAACTCCAACACATGACGGCTAAGCTGGGGGGCTATAAGCAAGCCTGCCACCTCTCACCTCGGGTAACTCCAGAGAAGTGGAGAGCCCAGCCTCTCTCGAGGAGTATGGTTCCAGAACCCAAGCTGTGCTTGAAGGCAAGCCCGATTATCCCTAGCCAGTACCTCTCAATCTCCCGCACAAGCTCGGGCTCCTTCCCCACCAGCGAGGCAACATTCCATGTCCCCAGGGCTAGTCTTCGTGTCCAGAGATCGGGTCGTCGGGGCCCTTGCCTTCGCCTGCTGTCCGATCCACTGTGCACCACCACCTTACGGATCCTACTGCAGGTGGTGGGCCCACAGGAGGACGTCCCCATGTCGCTCATTCGGGCTAAGCCCGCCCGGGCCCCTTAGGAAGAGGCCCGGCATCCAGGCACTTGCATTCGAGCCCCAACCCCAGGCCTGGCTCCAGGGTGGGGCCCTGGTTGTGCCATACCTGGTGACATTATGGTCCTTGATTTTAATTTTTTCATAAGGGGGTCTTGAACCACTCTTAGTCTGACCCGTCACCTAGGACCTGTTTGCCTTGGGAGACCCTACCTAACATAGCACCTAGGATCATTCAGGTACTCAAACCCTTCCACTATGATAAGGTGGCAGTTCAAGGAGGGGATGATCACATCACAAATGGCTAATTTCAACCAGTCACTTCATCTAGGCTCAGTCCCCATCACTCCTCTTGAGAAAACACCAAGCTCAGTACAACAGAGAGTGGGGAGTGATAATAATAACTTCTTCCCTGGGGCTGCCTACAGGTGGATCCTGGGTGGAGGTGGGGCTTATGAAATGCTACATGAATAGCAGCAGGAGCTGTGGTGGCAGTGGCAGCAAGTGACTTCATGGCTTTGGGGCTAAGTAAATCGCCACTGGATGTGTTTCAGTGAGAAGTACATTATATGGATGACAACTAACTACCTAAACTAGAATGCAGCTTATGTTTCTGAAGCTACAGAAGAACTATCAAAATCCAAACAGATATCACTACATAGTATACAAAACATCATGCTAAACAAATGGGGCTAAATATTCCAGATAAAAAGTTAGTATACTTGCCAGCTGATAAATATAGAAGATATGGAAGCGAAGGAGCAGCAATGTTCTTGACATTCTGTCATATGCTATGTTATGCACTTAGTGTTGGACTATGTTAGGTTATTATTGTATCTAGAGAGGTGGTTAGCCAGATATGCTAACTTTAAAGTTTATGTTAGAGCACAGTTGCTTTTTTGTTTTGGGCTAAAAAAGATACAAGCTTCTGAACTATGAATTATATGGAATATTACTCAGCCCTGTGCACACTGCTTCTGTCTAGCTGCTTATCTATTATTTGGACAATCAGTGCCACAGGGTATGGGGGTAGTGAACAGTCAAATATGAATTAATAACGTGAGAACAAAATAAAAGACATTTTGTTGAGCTGTGGTAGATTCTTGCCACATCTGCCTGTTTTATTACAAATCAAAGAGTAACATTTTAGGATGACACTACTGACCCACTTAGCTCGTGCCTGCAGGAAGTTGCATCATGACAGTTGGACTCTACTGTATATGTCCCTCTCTCCTCCTCTTACTTCCTCCAGCTCTCCAGTCCTCTTCCAGTGCCTTCTATCTTTCATTGCCAACTCAGCATTAAGTCCAGGTCACAGTGTTCTCATTCTACAAACCCATGGCTTGTTGGAACCCATGAATGTAACCCATGCACGACTAAACCCAAATATATGGCTGAAGCTTTTGACTCCTACCTTGAAGCCTTTGAGTGAAGCAGTAGACATCAAACAGATCATTGGGAGACCTATTGCCATAGTTGCGTACTCCAGGAGAGTCTTCGCGATCACCGTAGCAACCGGGCCGTGGTGACTGGATGGGATACCTGCAGAAAGAACCAAGGGAGAGGGAAGGGGACAGAGAGAGAGAGAGAGAGAGAGAGAGAGAGAGAGAGAAAGAGAGATTAATATAGCTTGGCCATGAAAAAAGCAGCCACATACAAACTTGGCTCCCCAGGGATGAGTCTGTGTTCACAAAATGAACTACACTTTTATCATCTCCTGCCCTGAATACAATGAGTTTTAAGCATCTTCCTCTGAAAGTTTACCCAAATACATTTCCCAAAGAATAAAAAAAACAATAAAAATATAATACCCCTTAAACTCTGTCATGCCACAGTGAGGTATTGGGAAACATTCATTACATGTCAGAACAATTGGGCAGCACTTCAATAGTTACAGTAGCTTGTTTCTGCCATCAGTGCGAGTTTCACAGAATAATTATCCAACAGGTTTACATTAAATCATTTAAAAGGCAACATAGGAATGCCAGTAATGCTAGAGCTTTAGAAAGAGAGAGAAAGAGAGGTAGCAGTAGGGATTTAAGAAGAGGCTAAAAGAATCAGGAATTTCTTTAGTGGCTTGGCATGCCTGAGAAAACTGTGATCTATATTCAAGCTCCAACTGAGCAATTATTCCACAAGAGCACTGATTCCGATATTACCAGGGCACAGGCAAAGAGGCTGATTAAAAGATTATTAAGCTGGGCATACAGGGACTTATAAAGTGCGAGGAAAAGATGCATGGAAATGTGCAAACATACACTGTCAAGGAAACAGGCAGAAGACACACCATAAACTTGTGGGTGCTATTCTTATAGAGCAACCTACTTTCATCAGAGAATAACAAGAGAAGTAAGTATGTCCCTAGTCTCAACTGGCTGATGAAGCGTCAGCTGATGTCTGTATTTTTTCACCATATTAATTGGACACATTCCTTATGGCTGATGTGTTTTGGGATCCTCCTAGATCTGGACCAATTAGATTAGAACTCCCATGTGAAAACAGCATTGGATGGAAGGAGAAAAAAAATAGAGAAAGAAGTGGCACTACAGGAAGGTTGTAAAAAACTGTTGGGAAGACAACAGTCAGTCTGCTTGGGTAGTGGAGCAACAGTGATTTGAAATTAAAATGTAGATATGGAGAACAGTGTTGAGAGATGGGCTCTGACTGCTAATGTTAAGAGAGACTTAATGGAAGGTGGCAAGTGGAAGCACACACAGCAGGCTGACAGCTCAGAAGGGGCAGATGTAGTTAACAGCATTTCTAGAGTGCAAACAAGCCATTAGGTCCAATTATGTTGCAGTTTTGTGTTTATAAAAGCTCTAAAATGATCAGTTTACCTTTCACGCTGCTGTACTCCTACAGTACAGCGTTCATCAAGTTTTCCATTTTTAAACTGACTTTTGTAACCGAGGGTGTTTACTTTTGCTACAGTGTGTGATAGTGTGGCAAATTATCAAAAATATTACACTGAAAATACTGACAGATTTTAAAGTAGCAACCTGGTCCAACAAACATGAGCTGTCAACAAACCTAGCCAGTTTCATTACAGTAAACATTAATATAAAGCTGTCATGGGTGAGCAAAATCTGTGGTTCAAGATGAGGTACTGTTGTACCTCTTCAAAGAGTGTTTTTTTTTCAGCTAATAAGATACAAGAAAGTGTCTTTCATCATTTGTGAATTGTCTTAAAAACCTATTCTAATGTTAGACAATGGATGAACGTGACAAACTTTATTGGTGAGTACTGCATACAGTATATTACAGGAACTATTGTCATCATTCAAAGAAATCCTTTTAACTGTTTTCATAATCCGTAATTCCTAATAACATATAGTTGGCTGTGTTGCCATGGCAACTTTTACCAGGGGGCTAATTAGTCCTCTTCGTTGTTTCCTTTCTTCTGTGTACATTCTACTGCGTTGAAATATCATGAGAATGCCCTTTACTAGTCTAAGTTACTTTACTTACTCTACAATGATGATTGTAGAATGAAAGACACACTGCTGTCACAAGAGCAATGAGGCAAAATTTTGGCTTTTGAACCACCCAGAGTTGAAAGCCTCACCGTGCAGTCTGGTCGGACAGCCAGCCAGCATCACAATTGTCATATCCATCTGCAAACGCAGCCTCCAGCTGACCTGGTGTTGCAATGATGGCTGAGTTTTCCACACACACCCTTTTGGCATCAGCAAAGGACAGAGCATAGCGGTCATGAGGAGCTCGGTAGTGAAACACCACACCTGGGGCAAAGAGATAGAAGATGACATAATAGGTTGGATGCTCCAGAAACTAATCACACAAATTTATGGCCTGTTCCTACATCCTCTGGGTCACAGATACAGCTATGAATTGCAGCCCTGAACATTACAACATGTGCATACACATGCTCATAGCCACATAAACACAAAGCCCTTGAGACATACACATACTGATAATGTTCCACATGTGCAGGAGGAAACAACAGGATTCAGGTTCAGCAACCTGCACATGTGAGTCTCATTTGCATCAGACAGTATATTGGTTTATCATTAGAGAAAAGAGATGTTGTCCTTGGATACAGTGAATGACACACAATGACGGTGTTTATTTTATTGCTTTAACAGTACATACACAATGTCACTCTGCTGCACTCCGCCTGCCTCCATGCTTGTGATGGAAAGACAAAAAAGGCAAGCAAATAAACAGAGCGCGATACACCACATTCAAAAGATGCACATATTGAAGCACCTTGACAAATAGAGAGGTAGACAGGAATATAAAAACAATCCTCTAAGCTGTGAAAGGAGTTGTATATTCCACTTAAATGACAATGGAATAGCTTCAAAAGTGTACATCTGCTCCCTCACCTCCCACTTCTGCTTGTCATTCACACTGTACTGCTTCCCTTAGGAGCATCCAGTGACATGAAAGCCAGTGGGCGTCTGGCTACTAACATGGCTCCTTTATCCTCGCTGACTTTGTTTGGCTGAGTGACAGATTCCTGTGAGATTGAGTCCTGTGTGGCAGTTTGAGCATTAGCACTCCAGGCTATGGGTGCAGAAAACAAGCAAGACCATGTGTGCTACAAAACACACACAGAGAGAGAGTTCCCATAATCCCAGCAGTCCATCCAGCCAGTCCATTTGCTTGATCTTATCTCATAGAAATGTGGAGCAGACATTCAGTTTTACTCCTTTCCTGTTTTCCTAAATCTCTCAGTTTCTATCCTTGTTTTTTAGAGGCTGTTGGATCTTGTCCAAACAAAGATGCTACATCTGTTTGCTGGTTATTAAAGACACTAAAGAGACAAATGTGTTTCCTTTCATTAGGGAGAACCCACTACTATTCTAAAGGCAGTTTGAATGTCTAATACTGTACCTCATCTCTTTATTTTTGTCCTATGCATCCTCACACATCTCCACACATTCTCTAGGGACAAGAGCAGAAAGGTGCCATTTGGGGCTGTATAATGCCCTCATTGTAGCACTGCTGAGCATTTGGCGTAACTTGGCTTTTGCCGTTAGTGCTTACACTTACAAGAAAAAGTCTGTGACCCCTTTAGAATGGCTTTCTGCATTAATTGGTCACACTGTCAGACACTGTGTCTGTCATGACTTCAGTGGCAAGAAAAAGTATGTGAACCTTTTGGAATTTCATAGTTTTCTGCATTAATTTGCCATAAAATGTGATCTGATCTTCATCTTAGTCAAATTACGCAAATAATGTGCACCTAATATAACAACACACAAAAACCCCCAGAGAAATGCATTTCCTGTCAAAAATGCATGTGGATGCTGATATACTGAAGGACCACCCTAAAAATGTCTGAAATCAATTGCTGCTGATGGATGAGAAGAAATGGCTGAAATTCTTTGTTGAATAATCTGAAGGAAGAGATGCAATAAATACAAGTAGGAATGTCCTTGAAGAGCTGAACATTTTGACACCTGCATAGCATTTCTAGCTGAAAATATGCTGAACTTAAGATGTGAAAATAAGGTAAAACAAGTAGGTGTGTGTGAGAGAGAGAGAGAGAGAGAGAGAAAGAGAGAGAAAGAGGTGTTATGAAGTGCCATTTCTCAATCGCACTGTATTTTATGGACCACCAGATGGCACTCCAGCACTGTGTCATTGACTCAGCACTTTGAGCTCCCCTTGACTTCTATTATTAAAAAAAGCTGAATATTTTAAAAAGTATAAATGTTATAAAAAAGATGAATGGAAGCAGGAACGTCCTTGAAGAGCTGAACAGTTTAATACCTGAATGGCCTTTATAACTCCAGCATACTTTCAGCTATAAAGTGCCAAAAAACGGATGGAAGATCTCAAAATAATAACTAGGGAAATGCATTTCCTGTTGAAAATGCGTGGGGATGCTGATATGCTTAAGGATCACCTTGAAAAATCCTGGAATCAATTGCTGAAAGAGCTGAGGGATGAGAAGAAATGGCTGAATGTTGTTTCAAAGGACTTCATATCTACATGTCATGTCAGGGTGACAGGTCTGTAGTGGGGTTTTTTTTGGGGACTGGAGTGATGGTGGAGTGTTTGAAGCAGGAGGGGACTTCACACAGCTCCAGTGATCTGTTGAAGATAAGTGTGAAGATGGGGGCCAGCTGATCAGCATACACTTTCAAGCAGGAAGGGGTCATGCCATCTGGGCCTGGTGCCTTTCTGATCCCTTGTTTTTTAAAGAGGCCACACACATCCTTTTCACAGATCATTAGAGGTGGGGGCTTGGAGGGAAATATGGTGATTATCGGGGGAGCAGCTGCTGGATCTGAGGTGGGGAGGGTGAGGGGGAGTGTTGATTGTCAAATCTGGCAGTAGAACACATTCAGGTCATCTGCTAGCTGATGGTCCTGCTCAATGGGGGATGGTTTCCTATAGCCAGTGATGGTTTTTAGGCTCCCCCACACAGACGAGGGGTTGTTGACTGAAACCTGAGTTTTTAGCTTTTCAGAGTAGCTCCTCTTTGCTGCTCTGACATATCTAGACATGCAAGGCCTGCATAAGACAAAGTTTAGAGTTGGTGACTTGCAGCGTAGACATATCCAGTTTATAGCATGTGACAGTGAGAAGATTTACAACAAGCCATCATATCTTTGCTGAAAATGAGGCAGAGGACACAGAGTAGCATAGCAATATGCATGAGCAGTTTTCTGAAGAGGAAGACAATGTAGAGTATGACCCAGACGACAAAGACTTATCGGATGAGTCAGATGAGGAGGTCACTGGTGGTGAAGCTGCTCCCGTTCTTGCTGAAACATTCAACTTCAAAAGTGGTAACATGTTTTGGAGTTCAGTACCTCCTGACTTACATGGCAGGGCAGCTGCTGCAAATGTCATCATAATGATCTGTGGGATCAGAAGGTTTGCAGTGATGAAAGTAAATGACATTAAGACGTGTTTACATCTGTTTATGCCATTATCACTAAAAAAAAGTCATCATTGCTACAATAAACCTTGAAGGAAAAAAGTCCACAGAGACATGTGGAATGACATAGATGAGGTTTACCTGGATGTTTGTATTGGTGTCTTTCATCTTGCTGGAGCGCACAGATCTAGCAATGATGCCCCTGAAAGTCCCTAGGACGTATCAATATGAAAAAATATTTTCCGGGCAACAATTGTACTTCAGATCTTTTGAATAATATCAAGAATCCTCAGATTTGACAACAGAGATACTAGAGCAAAATTTGACAAGCTTGCTTCTATCAGGGATGTCTTGGAGAGATGGGTGTAGCTCCTTCCACTGATGTTCAACTGAGGGCCAGAGGTGACAGTAGATAAATGTTTTGACCCTTTTCGTGGAAAAAGCCCCTTCCAGGAATATATGTCCAGTAAGCCAGGCAAATACAGTATAAAAATCTGGGCAGCATGTGATGCAAAAAGCAGCTATGGATGGACACTACAGATTTACACAGGCAAGCCTGCGAGTGAGTGGCATCCTTGAGAAAAACCAATAATGCAGTGAAAATAAAGTCTCTATGAGGACACAGGGATAGGTTTGTTATTTTTTATATTATTGTGGGGTGGTTCCTTAATTGAAAGGCATTTTTGATTGTGTCTTGAGAAGCAGTGTATCAAACAGCCTCCTGTTTGAGAATTCCTGTACTCCATTACAGCTCTCAAGTAATTTTGTTTTGGGGGGCATTGGAATAGCAGTTTGGGATTATAGAATTACGGTATTGCAATTTTGGTGTCTAAAACAAGTGATTTGACTGGGATACCCTCAACAGCCAAGCACGCAGTCTCTGTGTAGAAGCTTCTTGGCTGGATCTGTCACGTGGGCACTACGCCATTCACCGAATTGTTAATACGTGTTTGTCTAATTTACAATGACACAGCGTAAAAGAAAAGTGTGCGAAGCAGGAAGATTGCACAAGGGAAATGCAATTAAAAGGGCTCAAAAGGCAGAGGCTTTTCTAGCAAAGTGCCAATGTTTTCTTACTGAGGTTAAACTTGCTCTCCAACATCAGTCCTCTGCATCAATGACCCCAACAATGCCTGTAAC